GTCATTAAAGAATGACTCAAAATCTTTGTTTTCAAATTCTCCACCATGATCACTTCTGACTTTAACGATTCTAAGATCCTTTTCATTCTGAACTTGGTTACAGAAGGTAACAAACACAGAGTGTGACTCGTCCTTGTGTCTTAAGAACTTTACCCATGTCCATCTGTTATAGTCATCTACGATTACTAACCCATACTTCTTGCCACTGACTGAAGCAGTTTTAACTGGTCCAAATAAGTCAATGTGCAGAAGTTCTAATGGCTTAGAGGTAGAAACAACATTTTTAGATTTGAAAGAAGGTTTTGCAAACTTGCCTTTCTGACATGCTTCACACAGATCATCTGAATTGAACTTCAAATTAGGAAGTCCTCTGACCAGATTGAGTTTGTTAATCTGAGATATTCTTCTCATACTAACATGCCCCAATTTTCTGTGCCAGATCCACTGCTCGTTGTTAACAGACAGAAGACACTTTACATTCTGACTTTTCAGTTCAGAAAGTTTGATTTTATAGATGTTGTTTTTCCTCTTTCCATTAAACAGGATAGTCCCATCTTTCTGACTAACAGCTTTACATGATTTTTTATTAAAGATTATATCATAACCGTTATCACTTAATTGACCTATGGATAACAGATTATGCATTAATCCATCTACTAGCAGAACATTATTTATAGAGGGAAGATTTCCATTACCTATAGTTCCAGAGCCAATTATATTTCCCCTCTGATTGCCTCCAAAGCCAACGTGGCCTCCAGGCTTAAGTTCTAGGCTTTGGAACATATGCCTTCTTCCCGTCATGTGTCGCGAGCAGTCAGAGTCCAGGTACCATGACTGGTGTTTCTGATTTGCTGCTAAAGATATCTGCAACATGTATTATTTTATCCTTAGGTATCCAGATTTTCTTGGGTCTTGATTTGTTAGATTTACCAAAACTCTGGTTGAATTTTGGTTTCACAGAATACTTACTGCTAGTGTATTTAATATCATGTGTGTGACCATACACAAAATGTGATTTCAGAGGAGTGTGTTTAATAGTTAAATCCATGACATTCTTTGGTGTAGGAACCTTACCTTGGTATCCTATTCCCTTCCTGCCGTTTCTGCTAACTCCATAGATCATTGAAGCCATTTTGCTTCTATCTATGCTTTTAGCAAGGAACTTCTGGAAACTGTGATCATACTCCTTGATGATCTCATCAGCGCTGCTGGGAGTTTCAGAAATTGGTTCCTTCTGAGAGTTTTGTAAAGTATTTTCTAATTTTGAAATTTTATTTCTCAGCTCAGAATTTTCCAATTTAAGACTCTCAGTCTTATTAGAGTCAGATTCAAGATTCCTTTTCAGGTTTCTGAATTTAACTCTAATCTGCTGGTACCTTTCCAGAATTTCGTTAAGGCTTTCAGCAAGTTCAGCCTTAGTAAAATTAATTGCAAAGTCAGGAAATACCTCTTCAGTATCTGATTCTGAGTCTGATTCAGAAGCTTCACTATCTTCTGAAATGTTGGCCATGAGAGCTATGTTTTCTCTCTCATCATCTGATTCTGAGTTAGCTTCAGACGAGTCAGAGTCATCCCATGTAGCCATGAGACTTTTCTTCTTTTCTCTTCCAAACTTCTTTTTGGGCTTTTCCATCTGAAGCTTTGGGCAGTCACTCTTGTAGTGTCCTTGCTCATTGCACTCATAGCAGATGATGTCCTTGGTGTTTGGCTTTCTGCTTCCTGAGGAGCCTTCAGATCTTCTGTATCCAGAGGAAGAATCTGTCCTTCTGTATCTGGAAGAAGACTCGTTCTGATCAGATCTTCTGGGATTCCTGAACTTCCTTTGCCTCTGCTTCCACAGTTGATTCACTCTTCTGGAGAGGAGAGAAAGTTCGTCTTCTTCTGATGAGGATCCATCAGATGTTTCTTCAACTGCCTGCAAAACTTTAGACTCATATTTTTTGTTAGATTTTAATGCTAAAGGCTTACCTTGCTTCTGGGGTTCATCAGCTTCTAGCTCTATCTCATGACTTCTGAGGGAGCTGATAAGTTCCTCCAGAGAAATTTTGTTGAGATCTTTTGCTAGCTTCAGAGCTGTAACCATTGGCCTCCACTACTTTGGTAAGCTTCTGATGATCTTCTTGACGTGATCAGCAGTAGAGTATCCTTTGTCCAGAACCTTGAGACCAGCCACCATAATTTGGAATCTTGAGAACATTGTTTCAATGGATTCACTTTCTTCCATTTTGAATGCCTCATACTTCTGAATGAGCGCAAGAGCTTTAGTTTCTTTGACCTGAACGTTGCCCTCATGCGTCATTCTGAGTGAGTCAAACATGTTCTTTGCTGTGTCTCTGTTAGAGATCTTTTCATATTCAGCATAAGAGATGGCGCTGAGAAGGATGGTTCTGGCCTTGTGGTGATTTTTGAAGTCACGCTTTTGTTGGTCAGACATTGCTTTCCTATCAATCTTCTGACCGCTTGCATTCACAGGGTGCGTGTATCCATCTGTCACCATGTCCCACAGATCAGCATCATGTGCCAGAAAGAAGCTTTCAATTCTGTCTTTCCAGTAATCAAAATTTTCTCCATCAAAGACTGGAGGTTTACCGCTGAATCTGTCTGTCTTCATTGTTGTCATTGTTGATGTGTTGATAAGTTCCTGCCATTGTGTTTTTCTGACGCTGGATCTTGTACTGACACGGTTAAGTGTTTTAGCTCAGAACCAGGCGCTCTGATACCAATTAAAGAAGTGAAAAAACACAAGAAGGGGGGTTGAATTGTAAAACTGAAAAACAATGTAATCAACACGATATTTTTATCCTGGTTCGTTTGATCTCAAACTACTCCAGTCCACCCGTCAAGGTGATTTCGCCTCTCTCCAACGAGGTCTTAATTCACTATATTCAACTGAATATTACAATCTGCTTTAACAACTGCTAAAGCCTTCTTGATGCAAACCACAAACCGCTTTCTCAAGGAATTACTTTCTTACAAAGAATTGAAATCTAGGTGTGTGAATATTTTCTACAAAACTGTTTACCACAACTGTGATACTACACAAATTAAGCTTAAGATAACTAGATTGCTAAAATAATTGAGTAAGGAATTTTGGAGCTTTTAGCAAACTGAGAGTGAGGAAGATGATGAATAGCTTTTAGGCGTGTAAATTGTTGTAGAGCATTAGCCAATTCAATCTTCATTGACTTGTTTATATAGCATTGGAATAGTGTACGTTGGAGCAATAATTCTGTTTCAATGCCAATAACAATCTTTCCTTATTAAGCAGATCTTGTCTGGAATGATGTCGTTGGTAATAACTCATCTTGAATGCACAGTACCGTTGCCACTTAAGCGTGTTCTGGATTTGGCTCATTCTGACGCTGCTTAGGTGTTGATGAACTGTTGTTGTCTTTATCAGAGTTCAGAGTGTTGAGCGCAGTTCTGTTCATCAAGCTTCAGCATAAGCGCAAGTTGATCTTCTGATTCTGGTATATGATATAGCATCTTCTGATGCTGATGTTGATATCCAATATTCTGATGCTGATTATGATGTACTCTTGCTGATACCCATCAGAGTTTCTGTAAAACAGAAAGTAATTTTTAGGTAGCAAATAGTTCTTTACATGAATCACATAATTAATATATCTTTTCATTTTGTTATCATCAAAACTTAAACTTAGGGTAGTAGATTCAAACTTTGTTCTAACACTTGCACTACCCTACCATAACTGATTATATATTCTTTTGCATATTGTTACAAATATCACCTAGCTTTGAGACTTAAGAAGGGTAGGGTGTCTCCCGCTCACGTAGGGGGAAAGGACGACGCTATTTTCCTCTTTTAACAAATCTAAATGATCTAGTTTACAAATGGCAGAGACAATAGCTTGTGTATATACAACAATACTAATTAGCATAAAGTATAAATATGTTTTTTGCTAGGTTTTACTAGCTTATAACCAGATTGTCCACGTGTAACCGGGATGTCTATATAATCCCCCAACTATGACGCTTTGTCAGAAAATGGTGAAACGCTTTAACCCAGAGCCATCCCGACTAAGGAGGATTCTGCTTTTCGTTGCTTTTTCGATTTCCTTAGGCCGAGAACAATGTTTTAATGATGCAGCTACATTGATCATTCTTGACATGAAGTTCCATAACCGCAATGATTTTCACATTTGACCATGGGCAGCTCAGTTAAGCTTATCTGAGTTTTAAATGTTGATGGCAGAGACTTTTTAATCCTCCTCATTGAATCTCCCGGGTTAGATGTGATTCTCATTCCTTCATCAGACATCAAATTTATAAATATCAGCAAGTTCGTCCTCGAAGTTTAAGCGAAATTGTGATCTTTGGGAATCCGTACTTGTTCGTCAATCCTGGCAGTGTTCTAGCGCATCGCCCCTCCGATGACCTCATAACAAGAGACCTTGATCTTCTTTGGGTGATGAGTAAGACTTTTGTCAAGATAATCACAAAATTATTCTCAACAATAGAATAACACCACACATGACATTTCAACAAACACTTGGTAATCACAATAATGTAATAATAGTGGATAGAATCTACGACATGATATCATATACAACATCCTCAAGTGCACAGACTGTTTATGCAGGACCTCCTCAAATCCAGCAACTATCAACGATGGCCGCATCCTCGCGACTCAGCCCATGCCATCTATTTCGTGTCGTCTTGTGAGGTATCCCACTCGAGTATGCATACCTCCCAAATGTTCTGCAATATAAATCTGAATTTAAGACTCTTATCATTAATAGGTTTCATAACGGTCTGTAGCATGAGTTCGTAATAGTGTAGCAATTATTCACCGATAACTAATAACAAAACAGATACCCAAGTCGGATTTCAACCAGCTCATGAATATATGAGATTAATTAACAATACATAAAAGGAATAACTTATCTTTCATCAGTAATTTGGATACCGCTTAAGTTAAGCCTCAATCCTAATGTTAAAGTTCATCGACAACCGTCGTGGTCGAAGGCTGAATGTTCATCTTAACATGGTGGAACATCCAAGCTTTGGCCCCATCTGATAACAGTAGGCCCAACCCCTTCGTTTCTAATGAAGCGTCGGAAGTAGAAGACGCTGATATAGTAGCCAATTAAAGAGTCTGAGATTAGTCGATGATGAACGAGATCGGGATAAAAACCGTTATCAAAGACGGCGTGAAGGGTGTTCGGCAGATCGTGTTCCTCTTTGTCGTTGGAAAGTCCGTCCATTTCTCCCTTTATGAATGAGACATCGGAGTGGATTTTGCCATTCTATTCCTAAGAAGGAATAATAAACAAATTCCCACCAAGAATTATTGTCTCTTCCGTGTAGATTTAGTGTGAAATCGTTATTGGGAGGCACCAGCTTTAGGATAACGATCTTTCATGGTATCTCTGAGTTTTCAAGAATGATAATGAGATTACCGGTAAGATTGTATAGGAATAATAGTGTGGCCCAAGATAGTTTTACTTGGCTATGGTGGGTGTCAAATGTTCTTGTTAAACACTAAATATGTGACTTTCTTGCTAGTTAGAGGACGCTTGGGAGAGCCTTAGTAATGTGAGAGTATGTTGTTTATGATTTTGAGTCCAAACGACGTGTCTTGCTTACCCCCAGTCGGGTGCTCTATTATATGATATGTATTATCTCTCTGAAATGTGTCACAGAAGTTTAGCTAGGGGTCCCCATTCCACTCTCCAAGGACTCCTTATATAGGCAAGTCTTTGGCTTAATAGTCATTAATATGTTTGTAATTGTTCATAAGTACTATAATGACTGTAACTGTCCATAATGGCTCGTAACGTTTGTAACCGCTACATATTGGGTTCCGTAATAGTAACCAACCCGGCCTGGCATAACCCGACCTAGTACAACCTAGCCTGGCACAACCTGGCCAAGCAAAATCCGGCTCAACATTTATTTGTCCTCCTTGGCCTTTTATCCATATCTTACCTTTTATCTCTCTTAACCCGGACAATGGATATGTGTATCAACAATATATATATATATATATATATATATATATATATATATATATATATATATATATATATATATATATATATATATATATATATATATATATATATATATATATATATATATATATATATATATATATATATATATATAAGGTAGTAAATTGAAGGGTTGGAATTTATTTTTGTTAAAAAAATGATGGTATATATGGAAGAAAAAGTCACAAGCTAAAAACTACTTCAAATAGCTTTTGAAAAAAAAAACTAAAAGCAGATAAAAAAGCTACAAGCTAAAAGCTAAAAGACAGTTACCAAACAAAGCTTTTTCATTAATGTGATCTAAACAGCTAAAAGTTAAAAGCTCTTTTTTGGGTCTTACCAAACAGACTCTTAACATACCATCTTCACAATTGATTCAGACAATACCCCCAAAAAAAGAAAAGACCATTATAATCCTACTCAAAGTTTCCACCATTTTCCAAATTCACGCTCACGAACTGAAAATTTCAAATCTCCAAGACGATACCGAAAATTTCATGTTCATACCGAAATATCTTCAGAAAAAATAAGTAGAATACCAGAAAAGTGGAAATTTCCAGAAGTATTTAACAAAAATTTCAGAATTTCTAGAAGAATTTCACGAAAACTTCATTAGTTCCAGTATTTCTTACCAGAAATTTCAAACATTCCTGGATTTTTTAAGTTCATGTTATCGGAAATTTTTAAATTTCCAATAGTTCAAATTTTTTTGAAAAATTTTAGAAATTTCAAAATTTCCGGTACTATGTTGTGGCGGTGAAGTGGCAAGTAAAAAGTAAAGTATTATTTTACCGGGTGATATTTAGGTTATATCGTATCGTGTCCGCAGAGATTGGTGTATTGAAATGTTGTTCGACAAATCTGTTATTAATGAGTTTGAGTTTAAATGGGTTGAAAGTAAATGCGAGAATTAAAAGTTATCAACAGGAAAAGAATTCATTCTCAGGAGAAAATACTTATTAAGCATACATAATAACCCACTCTTCACAATCTTAAACCTATCGACCTGTCATGCTCAACCTACGAGACTCGTTGATGTCATCACGTATCAAACACAACACTCAATATATCATCTCAGCAACGATCTCTCAACCAACCTTAACAACACAGAGGTCAAACGTGCTACTCGCGTTAACAATCTCTCAGTCAACACAACCAACACAGAGGCATTAATCACAAACACCTAAGTGAAAAACAACACTAAATCTATCTCCAGAATTAAAAAACTATTAAATAATCATCCTAGATAAGAATTCGAGCAGTATATGTCTATAACAACCCAAACCCCTAAGCATAGAGCAAAAATCTAGGACATCAACAAAGATTTGTAAAGCAAACTTTATACAACGCCAAGGGCGACAAATATACATGAGTTCAAAGAAAATACATATACAAAACCCAACCAATAGACAATACACAAAGAAAAAGAGAAATGAACCGCAAATCTTATTTTTCAGCACCGACCAAAGAGCAATCCATCCTGGATCATCCATATGCAAGCTCCATAGTTGTTATCTAAGCTAATCTATCCAAAAATGAGGTTGATGGAATTTGGGAACAAAAACACCCCAAAGACCATAACCTAAAAATGAACTAAATCTGTTTTTATAAAACAAATCTGAGCAGACCGCACTAAGGGGCCTGGCGCGCTAAGCCCGACTTCCTTATTTTACACATTAAACCGCCCTAAACCGCGCTAAGCGCACTATCCGTGCTAAACGGGCTCCAAAATTTTGGTTCTACCAAAATGTTAAAACACAAGAAGCATGCTACAAAATACGCTGAGCGCACTCGTGCTTAGCGGCCTTCTGTGTGCTAAGCGGGCTCTCCTGAACTGAACTTCCAAAAACTAGTCTTTTATTCCAAAAACACGCATCCAGAGCCGTGCCTTTGACACCTTGTTCCTCTCCAAAATGCAATAAACACCTACAAAATGAATGGAAAAACATTAAACAATACACTATGTACACAAAAACACAAATAAACACAAACTAAACATATTTACACAAAAGACAAGTTTATTTAACTGATATTAATAATAATAAGTCGATAAGTGTAACAAAAGGTATATACAAAAATATCTACAATTTGCACTTATCAAATTTTCCCTAACTTGAACTTGTTTGTCCTCAAACAAGGCCAAACAACTCAAAAACCAAAGGTAATCTACCAAAATATCATGAATCTACAAGTTTTAAAACGGAAAACAAATATATGGTTCAAACAAAAACGCATACACAAGGTAAATAGTTACCACAATCCTACAACGACAATATGTAAACGAAATGAATCCTAACTACAAAAATCATACTAAACATTCTAAAACAAAACAAGCTCAATCATGAATCACACCTAGTAAAACTTCATCGGTAGATGAAGAACACACAAAGGCGAGGGATAAAAAAAACACTAATCCACAATCTTGCAAATAATAGACTAAATTATGCATTCATCCAAAAAATAATATTGAAAATACAAAGGCAAGAATCACAAGGGATTTTTAAGGTTGTAATGTGTCTTGGTTAAAAAACAAGGGATAAGTCCTAAAGCTAATCGAAACAAAAACTTGCCTTAACCTAAGGGAGTGATCAACTCACAAAGACTCAAGCAAAAGAATTTCAATCAAACTTCTTCTTCATTTCAAATTTCTCAAAACAACACACATAACTTATTAACACTTTCTTTTTATTTTCTTTCTTTTTCATTTTTTTTCTCTTTCTTTCTTTCTTAACCTAATAGTAATACACACAAGCACATAAACATTTCTCTCTCTAACTTGAATTCAACCATATCATAATGTGAATACTCCCTACTTTCTAAGGTAAGGTAAAAATTCAAACTACAAATCATAGTTGAGGGTTCAAGAAAACAAAAGAATCAACATCCATACAAAAAGATGAACCAAACACTCATAGTCAAGTATTTAGCAAAAACAACATGGATATCGGCAAAAAGAGTCAAAAGGGGTTACTATCACACACTCACAAGGTGAATTGACTATTTGGCCAAGGTAGTTGTGCTTAAAATGAAACAAAAAATAACTTGATCATGTTCAAGCTATCATACAATCAACACAAACAAAAGATTAAAAATAATAAAATCTAGTTAAAACAAGAATTGTAGCTTCCAGCATATATGAACAATGGAAAGCTTCCTCACATTTATGGGTAAAAAGGGAACTAAAGTGATTCAAGTCATGAGCAAGTAATGTAAAAAGAATGAATGGAATGGTAATTATACAAATGATAAATTTACTAAACATGTTATATTATAGAAAGAGATAAACGAGTACCTAGCAAGTACTAACTTCAAAAACTATCATTACCATACATCTGCAAGTTGACACACTCAAAATCGGAAAATCACCAAAAGCGACCTCAAGCTATCTAACCAAAATTTGAGTCCAAACAACAAAATAAAGAATTAAAAATATTAGTATTAATTACTATACTATAAAGCCTTGGGTGAAGTTGGAAAAAGGAGATCCAGGCGAAAAATTAAAAAGAATTCATTGGCTCTACACAACAGGGCGTGCTAAGCGGTACAGAGTGTGCTAAGCGCGCTACACCAGTTGCAAAAAAATAGGACAACAACAGCAGTGCAACATCACCCTCCATAATCACCTCTCAACTACACAATGTTTACAACATACAAACTTCCTCAGGCTAAACACGACAAGCTTGCGGAAAAACACAAATTTACATGACAAAACTAACGGGTTAAAGTGAATTAACAAGTTGAAAAGTGAAAATTTGAGAATTTAAAACAGGTCAAATTTCAACTTGTTAAAACACAAGTCAATACATACATAAACGAATACAAATAAAATATGTTTGTTTTACGTCGTAAGCTCGACGCCTTTATTGTGTGAGCTAGTAACCTCATCTCGTCATGCCATGGTATTGTCACACCGCACAAACCTAAAGAAAGTGTCCTAACATCCACATAACAAACGTTATGAAAACGAGACAATTCACAACAATACATGAAAACAAAGAAAAACACATATATGCACAAGTATGGAAAGTAAACACAAAACATGTACAAGTAAAAATAGACAAGTTTATGTACACATTCTATACAACATATACATTAATTACAAAACTAAAAAACAAAGAAACTATCGCAATTCAAAAACAATAAACACCATTCCTCGGCAACGACACCATTTTGTTGCAGAGGTAAAGCGGCAAGCAAAAAACTAAAGTATT